TACACTACACACACACACACACACACACATATATATATATATATATAGCTGCCGCGCTGACCCTTTCACATCTCAGCACTATCCTATCTACCACTCAACTCGAGATGGAGGTATCGGAAACGTTCGTAGTCTGCTGAACGAACCAGCCCAGAGCCATGCAATGTTGGCAATTTAACTTGTTAGCGAGATAACCTTTTGAGCGAGACGTGGTATCAAGCGAATTGCCAGCAACACAGTTTTGCTTTATGTATGCCAATAGCCTCGCCTGCTCACCCTTCACCTGCCCATCAGACGGCTATGTCTGGATTTATTTTATCCATTCAGACAATGATACATAATATGTATTTTTAAAGGTACCGACGTGATCGTATTGATCTCCTCTATTGATTGATGCTCAGAAGGACCCTATGCAATGAATCGCGGGATAAAGGTACACTTTGCCATCGGCTTATACGTGGCGAAATTTCGTAGAATTCGGTCTTAAGGATGTCGTTAGTATCTATAGTTCTATACCCATATAAATAAACATGTACTATGAACACTCATGACTCAACAGTCAACCACTCAACACTCGACAGTCGACACATTTACAAATTACATTTATATTGTTTCTTTTTTAAAAAATAAATAAATATATAAGTTTACATGCATTTTGTGATTTTACATATTACAACAAAACTGAAAAATTAGTAGAACTCAAGAGTACATAGTGAGAGTATTTGGACAAACAAAGTGAAGCTCCGGATGGCATATGCGGCTACTCTACGGAGCATTAGAGTTTGAAGTGAGATCGGCTATTTAAAAAACAAAAAACAAAAACAAACGTCACATACTCGCACTATATACTAAGTATGTGGGTGTAACAGGACTATTTTTTCATATATTTACGCTGACACGGGGGCGCGAATTTCATCCAAATGCCCGAGATCAAGATATATAATAGGAAAATATTATGTCCAGTCCTATGAGGCTATGACTCCTATCACTGCTAGCAATATCAATATTTGTAAGAAAATAAAACAAAACAGCACCACCACTGGCACCACAAGAGACTTACGTATGTCATATTGCCAGTTTGGCGTTTGCCACGCGGGCTAAAATAGTGAAAAGCCTATACAGAACAGCGTTCTCAGTTCTGTTTTGGGTTCGGCTAATCGGCTCGGAACGATTTGAAGGTAAGAGTTTATTCTACTCTCACTTTACTCACAAGTGAGAAAGAGAAAGAGTGAAATATTAAATACAGTATAATTAATACGGTGATACGCAGCAGCCAGCAGGGGGTGATACTGATATGAGATTTCTTCAAATTAAATAATCAACAGTTGTATGGAATTGGTAATTACAAGTGAGGTGATCAGAGAATCAGGGAAGTGTGGAAATAAAAGATTCGTATTTTAATATTTTATCTAATCATCATGATAACATACGTATATACTATACATCCTAGCTAGATGAGCCTTCAATAGTTGAAGACTGTTACAGCTTGACTAAATATTTTCAACAAAATGGCGCCTATGCACAAAGCAGCAGAGATTGGCGATCTGACAAGGATAGTAAATCTCTTAGACAGTGGTGCGGATGTAAACGATCGTTTGGACAGTGTATGTGAACTTTTAATTCCCAAAATGGACGGGAATTATATATTTAGACTTCGATTAGAAAAGTTTCATTTCAGGAGCCGCTTGTCCTGAAGTATACCGTACCTAATTTGATATATTCTTGCATTTTTGTGTTGTGTTGTCTACAACTATGTGCTACAACATCTCTTCTATACAGCGGAATATGACACCCCTGCATTGGGCAGCGTCCTCCGGTCAAGTAGAGGTGGCTGAGCTTTTGATCAAGCGCGGAGCTGGTTTGTCAATCGAGACTGTTGTAAGTTAATATCTTTATTGCGCTGCGTTGATCCGTACCTACTGCGCCTTTGGACTTTACAATCAAAACATCCGTTCATTGCAACAATATATATAACACTCCGCAGACCGCGCACACAAATGCGCATTGCTCTTTGCACACTAAACTGTGCTGGAAATATATACTTCTTATAATTTTCAGGGCGGCTACACACCTCTCCACGTGGCAGCGTACAGCGGCCAGACGGAGACGATTGCTGTGCTGCTAAGTGCTGGTGCGAACCTTGATGCACTCGCCGGTTCAACGTTCTTTCCTCGTTCAAGGGTCAATGTATGTCTCAAAGAAAGCTAGCATCGCACATCCGTATAATTTTTGTGCTGTATTGCATTCTATCATATTCGTGATAAATTTTCAAGTAGTGTAATTCACTATGTGAAGGATATAGCGGTCGTAATCTTTTGGTGTCGTAATTCAACGCGCGTACAGTATTCATTTATCACTTGTTCTTTACTTTTAAATTAAACACGCCCTTTCGGGTTTCCCCATGGCATTGCTTTTAAAGCCTCTATTTTTGTTTTCCAACAGACAAAACGCACAGCGCTGCATTCGGCTGCTGCGTCTGGGAACGCTACCGTTATAGACTTCCTGCTAGTGCAAAGTGCGGATATCACTGCTGTGGACATTAAGGGCTCGAGTATACTACACGAAGCTGCAGTTTCCGGAGATTCGGCTTGCATAGAGCTTCTGGTGAAGAAAGGAGCGGATGTGGGAGCTAAGGACAAATTTGGTAATACTCCTCTGCATGCCGCAGTGCAAAGCAAGAACATGGTGACTATCAATGCGCTACTGGATATTGGTGCCGACATCAACGCTCAGAATAACGTATGTAGCATGCGACGCTGTGGGCATGCATTTGTAAGCATACATATGAAGTTATGCCATACTTTCTACAACAAAGGTAAGCATGTGACCACCGCACTATACGTCCCGACTTTGATCAATTACTTCATCTTTCTCACAGCATGGCTGGACTGTACTGCACAACGCTGCCGAAACCGGACATGTGGCTACACTCTCACTCCTGATTGAAAGGGGTGCCAGTCTTAATTCCCGGGACAACTACCATGAGGCTGCGCTTCACAGAGCGGCTAAGTATGTGCAACGAGCTTCGGCCGAGTTACTCATCAATGGAGGTGCAGATCCCGAACCAAAAAACTTTGTAAGTACATAGACAGAACGTAAGGAATTTTATCCACATAATGATGAGTGTTCCATTGTACTTTTATCAGTTCGAATCCACTACCGAATATTCAAATAAATTCTACAATGCTCGCGTACGGAACTCATGGCGGGTTGTTTACATATTGCTAAAGTACTAAATTGCTGACTAGCCCATGCGCTGTTTCCTATACGCATGCACAGTTTGGAGATACTCCTGTCCACAAAGCCATGTTGCACTACAACGCAAAATCAAGAGACGATTTCTTGGCGGTTTTGGGTATGATGCCACAGACACATGAGGGACTAACAAAATGGCGAGCACAAACAACACCAGTACATATCGATCAACACGCTATGCTGGGTGCGTAGACATCGATGATCAATTCTTTCATGAAGCTTAAGAATATTGAATATTCTGCACCAGCTGAAGAGCATTGTATATTTTGTACCAGCCCAGGAATATTGTATATTCTACGCAAGCTATTGTAGCAAGGTGTCTACGCGCCCATTAGAGACCGTTTCGTATCCCCTAGCACTACAACGCCCCATAGCAGCACTTTGGATCCATGTAAATGACGAAGAGACTCTCTCTATTCGAGAAGTATTCGGACAATGGCCAAAACACTAGCATAACGTGGTGGAATCAGTGTCCATCGAATGTTCATCACAAGCCGATTAGAACTCTAGTTACAATCATACTGGAATTTTGAATAGGAGTGGGACTGGTTGATACAGTATTTAAAACCGACCACTTAATAGCCCCTGCAACGATCATAAACATCACAGCAGCATACAGCACGTTGTTTTAGACCTACAGTAACGTAAGATTGCAACAAATAAACCACTAGCCTATATAAATCCTAGACTATTCAAGTGCTATCGAGTTGCTGTTGCGCAAATGCATGTGCTCTACTAAAGGTCAGTATTGTATACGGTAAGCTTAATTAAGTATATAGAAGCATAGGTGATGGAGCGATTTTGAATACGTACTCTCTAAACAAGACATACGCTTGGGAAACATGTTTTTTTATAGAGTCTAACGAGAAAACGAACCAAAAAACAAGCTCGACAGCAAGACAATTTATTATTCAATATACTTGCTAAGCACAACTTTATGGAGTTAGATTACATGCCGTATGTGTGTTACGTATACTGACAGCTACCAAACACACTATCAATTCAAAACTTCTGCCTGCCTGGTATAGCCACCAAGTAGTGTTTATCCCCGTGCATAGTATCTCTCGCTCTAGAGAGAGGCAAGGCGAGCAATGCGTCTATGTATGAACTGATCGTTACATCGTGATATTTTATAGCCTTCTGAAATCAAACAGAAGGCAATGAATACTCTTTCTATTGAATGCTATGTATTTAAATTAGAAGCCGGCTGTGGCATAAATAGCACTAAATATTTTTGGTTTTGAGCACGGGGCAGGCTACAGAGTTGGGTTTGGAATTTATTTGTGGATTGTAGGGTTCTACTCGACCATGAGCGCACCTCACTTAACACATGCCTGAAGTGATATATCTAAGTATGCGTAGTGCCCGAGGTGTGCAATTATTCAACCAACTTGTGAGTTGTGACTTGATACAGAATAGCCGTGTGCCTTATTTATATAGCGATGCAACAAACTCAAAACACAAAGCTCGCTGGGACGCAAACCAGCGAGAAGAACCAATTCATCGCTACGACCCG